TCTCATAAACGGTAATTTTCTGCGTCTATGTTCATAGAGCAAAGTGATGTTAATTTTTGTTATTTAAAACTGTTCCGAAGTTTGTCTATTAAAATCTGGACCACCCAAATGTGTTTTATTTTCCCTATTTCAACGCATTGTTTACTTGAATAATATGTTTCATAACTCGTAAACCATTCACTTTTCGATAAAAATAAAAGAATGTTTTTTCATCCGGAATATTACAGACTATTATAAAATGTATTCATATTACCAATTAATTCAGTGGCGTAGAAGTTTTACTTTAAATAAGTAAACGACATCCTTGTTTCTCCGTCACTGGTCTTTGAATTTGGACTATGTGCATACAAAACTAGGGGAAATATTTGAAAAAAAATCTGTACCAAATTTGGATAAATTTGATAGCCGTTTTCCAGACTTTTAAAAAAATTGTTTTATTTTTGTTAATTTCAACGCCCTGTATCTCATAAACAGTGGCTTTCTGCGCCTAAGTTCATAGAGCAAAGTGATGTTAATTTTTGTTGTTTAGTAGTTTCCGGATTAAAATCTGGACCACCCGTATATAGAGTAAAAGTCAGAACTATACCGAAATTTTGCTTCGATTTCGAGCTACAATTAAAAAACTGAAAGGGGTGCATTTTCACCCCTATCTCCAATTTCTACCCTCTAATTTAATAGCACTCCGCGGTTTTTTTCATCTAAAATGACCATTTGAACGATTCATGTAATAAAATATCTTGAACGTCATAGTTCCTTATAAAATCCTATATTCAATAGCCTATAAAGTCGGGAACAAGAAGGGATTAAACAATTTTGGGAACGTCACGCGAGGTTGTCGTAACCACAAAGCTTCTTTGGAACATACATGTAAGGCGTGCGTTAATGTTCGCAGAAGTCCACAAGCCCAACTAATATTTCAATTTTTTATAAAATCTAAATGAAAATCCTTCTCACGAACGTAGTTTTTCGGTAATATTGCAAATGCAACTGAAAATTTCCAAATTAATTTAAAGCCGTTTGACCTTGAATATTTGAAAATTTTAGTCAGCGGCGCTTTTTTTCTTTTTAGTCCGGGCACCAGGAAAGAAATCGCAGCGTTTTGAAACTATCAGGGTTGCTTTGGGACACTTTGAGGTTGAAAAGTTAGTCAATATCCTTGTTTTATCCATTATATACAAAGTTGTGCCAAATTATTTAAATATTCCCAATTATGCAATTTTTTACCTTGTTTCCAACCAATATTCTCAGTTTTCAAAACCCAGCTTGGATTTCCTGTACAATCATTACTTCCCGATTGCCAAAGTCAAAAATGACTTTTTTGTTTTGACCGACGATACCTTAGCGATAAATCATCCACAAGTTATTTTCCAAACTTATTTCTCGAAACGTAAACAATTAGAAAAGTACCTATAAATAATTTCTTCTGTGGGAGTCTACTTTTGACCAAATTCGGAACTGGAAACAATTTTATGGGTCTTTTGACTCCAAACCCGGAAACAGTACAACCACTTTGACCTCTTTGCACCAAATCAAGAAAAACATTCCAACCTCGACACTGTGGGATAGCAATTCGTACGTTGTAGGCGGATGTTAAACGAGCGACCGAAATGGTCATAAATATTCCAAAAAGGAGAATTTCCTCTTCCAACCAACCGTCTTTTTTAATTGTTGTTCTCGATGGAAATCTGATGCTTATCGGTGCCTACGCGTGGCCATTCAAGAGTTCGACGATCTAGCAGGCATATTCGATTCGGCTGCTAATTAGTTTGGGAGACAATAAATTAACCAGGAATCCGGCAAAAAAACTACAAGATTAATTGACTGGTCAGAAAGTATTGTCGTTGGTTAAGTTTTGCTCATATTAAAGTTATTCATCAAAAACCGAGCGTTATAATACAAGATTTGATTTAAAGACAAAAGAAAAACGTTAAGGCGGGTCGATTTTTATTTGTCCAAGGCGTTCTTTCATGTAAAAACAATCATGCGGCATATCAGCGCTCTCTACTGACACTTGTGGGTTAAACCGTGTCAAAATGAGTAGGTAGAGCTGATTTATTGTTAACTTTAATGTAAGATAACTTGTAAAATTAAGTCACTGGGACTGAAATCTAGTGGGCTAGGCGGTCGTTCTCGATTTTTAATAAATCAGATATTTAAGGTAAATAATTCTGAAGCTTTTTTTTTACAGCTGAATTTCTTAAAGGTGATATTTTAAATTTTTGAGCTTCAAATCCTGAAACTAGAAACTTCAAGCTTTAATTTGCTTTTTTATTATTACTCTAGGACAATTTTTCGCCAAGTTACAAAACCTAAAAATTTAGGGTTCCTTTTAATCTTTAATTTTTGGGACTAATTCTTTAATTTTCAACGAAACTATAATTATAATAACGTTACCAAACAAGCAAATAGCAATATTTAAAATAAAGTTACTACCAATTCCTTAATTAACTTTGAATATTGTTAATGAAAGCCTTAATCCTGCAGCAAATTTATAAAGAAAAATTGAACCAAAATTATCGATAAGTTTACAACAGACTTGCCAAATTAATATTTCCTGGCAACGTTGTTGGGTGGCCATTACAGCGTTGTTGCCAATTTCTTTTAAAACTTTACAACTTTTTTTGTAAATTGTCGCAGCAATTTTATTTTGTTTACTTGGGTAGGCTTTAATTTGACACTGTGAAAGTTTTTCTTTTTTCCTTAACAAAAATTTTAAAATGGGAGTGAAATTATGCTTATACAGGGTGTTTCAGGATTAAGTCGACAAACTTTAAGGAGATATTCCNATTTTGAAATCTTCTTTTAATTTCGAATAATCCTATTGAAATCTTAAATAATCATTGAAATCTACTAAAATAACTCTGAAATCTCCTGAAATGTTTTGTAATCGGTTGAAAGATATTGTAATCTTTATTATTTATATGAAATTTGTATTTTTTTTAATCGATATTGAAATCTGCAGATACATTACAAGAGATTTCAGAAATTTTGTAATCTTCGTACGTTTTTTCCTTAGCGGATCGCCCCTCGAGTAGAAGTCCCGCAAGCAACCAGTGGCGGAATTATGGGGACTCAGACTCATTAAATTATAAAAAAATTAATACGGCCCTACTGAAAATAAAAAATGATGCTGTTTTTAGATAGAACAGTTTGTTATTGACAAAAAGTGTACATTCACTTTTTTTCCTAACTCTTATAGTTTCATGGCAAAATTGATTTTTCGGAAGGGTGCTTCTGGATTCTGTCGATAAACTTTAGGAAGACTTTCCTCATAAAACCTTAAAAAATACAGTACCTATTAAAACTGGTCTTAGTCTCGAGTATGTGTAAGTCAAATAAGCCTTTTTGTCTCCTTTTCCCTTGGGTTTAACCAATAGTATTAAAATTATTTAGGAGATGATTCGTTTTTGAGATATAGGGTGTCTTTTTTTGAAAAAAAAATTATGTTGATGAAAACAATAGAAATATTTAAGTACCTAACATCTAATGTGACTATGTCGTAATGCGACAACGTAACGACCCTTGCAATACTTCTATTTGTAAATTGAAACAACCAAAAAATTACCAATCACGACATCTAATTATGGAGGTACTGGCCTATCGACACTAAATTGCAGTTACTTCTCGACACGCTGGACTATTCGCTGTCTTAGATCTTCTAGGGTATCAACTTGCACCTCGTAGACTTTTTGTTTAACAGCACCCCAAACGAAATAATCCATCAGTGTCAAGTCCGGTGAACATGCGGGCCACGCTGCGGGTCCCCCACGACCAATCCATCGCCTGCGATAATTAATGTTTAACCACTTCCTAGGACCTCTCCCAAAATGGGCAGGAGAACCATCTAGTTGAAACCAATTGTTCCTTCGAGTATTAAGCGGTACATCTTCTAACAGATCTTGAAAACCATTTTCAAGGAACTCGGTAAACATGTCAGCAGTTAACCGATGCGGAAGGAAGTAGGGACCAACTATAGTGTGGTCCAACACACCCAATCATACGTTACATTGGAATTCATTGTGAAAACTATGTTCCCTTACCACCCGTGGATTCTCGTAGGACCAAATATGGTTGTTCCTTTGGTTTAAAATTTCCCTTCGAGTAAATGTTGCCTCATCTGTCCACATTACTTTTTGCGATCATCATTCTCTGCTTGGTTTATTTAAAGTTTATCGACAGAATCCAGAAGCACCCTTCCGAAATATCAATTTTGCCATGAAACTATAAGAGTTAGAAAAAAAAGTGAATGTATATTTTTTGTCAATAACTGCTCTATGTAAAAACAGCATCATTTTTTTTTTCAGTGGAGCCGTATTAATTTTTTTTATAATTTAATGAGTCTGAGTCCCCATAACTCCGCCACTGGTTGCTTGCGGGACTTCTACTTCTATGGGAAAATGGTATCTTATAAAAAGATGTGTCAAGCCAAATTTGGCTTAAATAGCCTTCTTCATTTAGAAGTTATTTAAAAAAATCGAATTTTTTAAAAATCTTTAACGCCCTATATTTCGAAAATGAAGCATCTCTAGAAAAAAATTTATACTTGATTTTTTTCTTATTTTTTTTATGAGGAATATCTCCTTAAAGTTTGTCGACTTAATCCTGAAACACCCTGTATAGTGGTTTTATTTTATTTTCTACATGATTTTTGTAGTAGATGCTCTGGTTCTGTAACATTTGTCGTATTTTATCATGTTTCAAACCCATAATTCGATTATGGGACGAATTTAAGTAACTATTTAAAAATACGGAAAATCGTCGATCTGGCGCCGTATTCAACCGAGTATATTCAACCATTGTCAGTTATAAAAAAATACTCCAGATTTTCATAGTAACATCTCTAGATTTCGAGAAATTTTAGGGAATGCCGGAAATCATATAAAGGTTTTGCACAAAGATTGAATAATATTCAGTAACGCATTTTAATCTTATTAAAAATCATGACAATCTTAATTTTGAGGTTATTTTCTGTAGGATAAATTTGTAAATTGTGTACTTACAGCTTCCTTTTCTTCAGCTCAGCCTCAGTTGTGTCAGTCAATAACAATAAACAGCGCTTTAAATCCAACCACAGACATTTGTAAGGCGAAACAGTTAAAGTCCCCAGAACAACAAACACAATAAGTAACACACAAACTGAATTAAATCACGTACGCGCGTCTACAGCGCGGCGAAAAACAAAAAAAGTCGACACAACTCGGGCTATTCTTTAGAAAAACAACTCCGCTGCAAGGAAAATCGGACGGGAACGGGCGACTTCGCGTATCGCGATCACACACATTTTCGATTTACTCGGAACGAAGCTCGCGCCTTACTCCTGACGCCGCGAAAGGTGGGCCGCGAATGAGCGCCGCTCGATTGTTTTTTTCCGAGAGGGATCGCAATACACCGCGCTCTTTGATGCGAGCGAATCTGGGTTAGGCCGCGGGGTTTCTCTGCAGGCAACAGGGTCGCGACACAGGGTTTTTCACAGGGGGGCACGAGTGTAGTAGAAGTTTGGCTGTCATAATGTCAATAGACGACAGTATACATAAAAAAAACTTATAACCTAATCACGCACAATATTTTCTTAAAAAACAACTTTATTCTGCTACATAAACACTCAAGCATAACGCTTCTTGCAGCTTTTATATAGCATAACCTCTAAATCTCAAAATCAACTCTAAAAACACAAACACCTCACAAGATCTCTTCTTCTTCTTCTTATTCGAGCTATTCAAATTCGGGCGGAATTTAAACTTTAACACACAACCATTTTTGAGGAAAAAAATTGTCAAATTCTAAGTTAATTTTTTATGTTTTTTATAAACAAGTTCAAATTTGTTTGAATCCTTAAAATATAAATGTACACATTTAAATTCGCCCTGTATTTGGGTAACGATTTTCTAAAAATAAAAGTTTTCTACGATCTTTTTATCGATATTGCTACAATTTTTTTCTTTGGATGTTCTTGGACTTTTGCTTAACCACGGTCGAAGTGCTTCTTCATTTCGACACCCAGTGCATAAATCAAATATTTACGACTTATGTTTATGTAAAAGCAGAATTTAATGAGAGAAACCAATTATTTTGCAACAATAATTACAAAAAAAAGCCGCTAATCACTTAAAACAAAAGCAGTAATGGAAATAAATAATAAATATTTAATTAAACCTGAAGAAAGTGTAAAAAATCGTTATTTTATGTTTCTGATTTAAAAATTTCTATATTTTAATACTACTTTACAATTTTACAACTTTTATATTATCTTTCCACACTATTCTAAAAATTCTCCGACTTTGCAAAGCATAATCTCACATCCACCGTCAATTATTGCTTCCACGCCACACCCCGTATATATTAAACGGATTGAAAGCGAGCCTCGTGCTTTAGTTTAAACGTTTAAAGTCATGATCCAGTGTCTCTGCATTATGATTTAAATTAATTGTAAGTCGAGCCCTGTCACTTTCCCAGCAAGAAGCCAAACCCTAAAGTTCACCGTATTTTTTGCGGCATTTAAATTTTTTCCGCTCCGAGCAAGCCTCGACCGAGCCGCGAACGCAAAAACGTGATTTCGGAATGTCGACAACGAAAGGAAAGGTTAATTAAATTAGAATAACAATTGCTATCTCACGCGGTATATCTCTTTTAGTGTAGTAGGCCTCGAGTTTAAATCGTCATTACTCATAAAAAAGAATGTCAAACACCATAGTGGTTGATTTTTTCTTATTTCTACTTTATTTTTAAAATAAGATCAAATGTTTATGTTTTTATAGTATCACAGCTAGGCAACCTATTAAATACTCAGCTTGTAAACCTGGTTGCCTATCTCATAAACTTGAACTGTCACTGTATACTCAGTTTTTAATTACAGGTTATGTTTACGATCATTGCAAAAGTAGTGAAATAATGCGTTCCTTAAAGTCCCAACACTCCCAAAACTCGAGTTACAAGGACGCCCAAAGCTGGACAGACGATCTGCCGGTCTGCAAAAACACCGGGATAGGATTTTCCACGAATCAACGTTACAGAGAGGATGGGCACCCCCAGGAGATGCACCACTACGAAGACTGCAGCTGTCACTTCAAATTCGACGATATTTTCTACTGGTACGCCGTCTTCGACGGACACGAGGGCAAGCGAGCTGCGGATTTCTGCTCCCAGAGGATGACAGCCGAAATTTACTTTTCACAATTAAACGAGAAAGAAACCACAGACGAAGAAGTGAAGGAAATGCTTCGACAGGCCTTCATAACTGTCGAAAAGGGGTACATGGAGAGCGTGGAGGACCTGCTAGCGGAGCGGACAAGCTTGATGTACGACATACCGGAAGGCTTGAACTCGTACGAGGCTTACAAGGAGGTCCCGCACGTTGTGGAGGGCCTCAACAGGTTGAACTGTGAATTATCTTCCGGTACAGCTGCAGCTGTGGCGTTGATCTGTAAGAATAAGCTCTACGTGGCCAACGTTGGTAATTGTCGTGTGTTGTTGTGTCAAACCGATCAGAATTCGGTACTGAAAGTGGTTCAGTTAAGCGTCGATCACGATTTGAAGAACGAGGACGAACTGCTCAGGCTGTCGCAGAACGGCATAAATATTAAGAATTTGAGACACAGTAAGTGTTAGTCATTTATAATTTGTGAAAACAAGAGAAATAGACATATTTCTTTGATTTTTCTAGGTTCTCGTCTTGGCAATCAAGAAAATACCCGTTGTCTGGGCAATTACAACGTAAAGGGTGGCTATAAAGACTTTGAAGACCTAGCGATGGCAGCGCAAGAGCCAATAATCGCCGAACCTGATATTCATGGTGGCATCACGTTGGACGAATCCTGCCGATTTTTGTTACTGATGTCTGCCGGGTTGTACAAGTCTATCGAAGAAGCAACGGGCACCGATCAAGTTAACAAATACATCGCTCAGTGTGTCGTGGAACAGGTGAGTCTAAAATCTATTTTAGAAATTAATTTTTAATGTTCTGCATAATTTAATTTTACTTCTCTCTTAATTCTCAATCCAAATAATTGTCTTGACACATGACCTGGCAATTATTTTCGTACGTTCTAGTTCCGCGAGCAAGCAACGCTGACGGGCGTGGCCCAGGCGGTGGTGGACAAGGCCGTCCGTCTCCATCACGACTGGTACATGTCCAGTTCCATCAACCACTCGTGCACCCCAGAAAGGGAAGACATAACCCTCGTACTGAGGAACTTCAACTACCCTCTTCCGAATGCCATAACCTCGCCCACTAACCCGTCGGTTACTTTCAACCCGATACCCACGGTCAGGGGCGGTTCTACCTGTCAGTCGACGCTTACCAACACCAGAACGGGGGATACCACCAACAGGTCCATCGACACGACGAACAGTTCCGACGTGAAGACCGAGACTGACGACGGGATGGGGCCGGATATGAAAATCGAGGCGTACGTGGATTTTTCAGATTTTTACAGGAATTTTAGTATAGCCAAGCAGAACGGGACCTTGCCGGAGGGTCTGGACTTTTAGTGTGATATTTTGTTTGCCGTTGGTGGCTAAAATCGATATCTGTATATAATTTAGCAATTATTTTAATCGTAGATGTAAGGGTGTGACGAGGAAAAAGGCAATTTTGGAATTTGTGCCTTACAAAGGTAACCATATTAATACCAAATTGTTTAAACTTTAAATTATATATCATTAAGTATTAAAAACTTTGTTTTTTTTTCTCGAATATGATCTCAAAAAGCGGTTTCTAATTTTTAAACTTTCAACATATCTGGTTTGATTCATTTTGGCTTAGAAACAATTTCTTACAATTACATACATATGAATATAATCAATTATTGGTAAATTACCTACCTATATTGGTGACGTATTGTTTCACTCATAGAACCATAGAACAGTGAAGAATCTACTTTTTAATATGGCTGACTTGTTCAAGGTCACAGTTCTTGAACCCCTTAAATTATTTTTATAAAAAAGTGTGTGTCTTTAGTGATTTGTGTACTGTGGTACATACATACAGGATGTCCGCAAATTTTACCGACAACGTTTGACTGCATATTTACGACGATAAATAAATAGGATCTACGGAAAAAAGTTAAATAAAATATTTTTGGTGTTTGATTTTGATACAATCCGTGTCACTGCTACACAAACCGAAACGTACAGACCTGCAAATAATGCCATTTTTCTGAAGAATGGCTTTTTGTAGGCGATTTTCTCAAGTGACGATATTTTTTAAATAAAACGACCTTTTCAATGTTGCTGCCTGTTTTAAAAAAATACGACCACTGTAAAAATTTTGACCGCTAAAAGGTAGAGGTAACCGTAGAAAACTATCACCCAGTATATCGATTTGACTAAAGCTTTAGGAAATAATACGCCATAAATGTGCCAAATGACCACTTTGAAGGCCTGTAACTCAAAAACCAATACATTTTTATTTAACTTTTTTTTTTCGTAGATCGTGTTTATTTATCGTCGTGAATATGCAGTCAAACGTTGTCGGTGAAATTTGCGGACACCCTGTATAATATGCACATGTGCCTAATCCACTTCTATAAAACATGGCGGTGTTTGTTTACATCTGTATAATTTGTGTTTTCTATTGATCATTATAATTCTCTATGAATATAATTAGTTATTGCNTCTAATTTTTAAACTTTCAACATATCTGGTTTGATTCATTTTGGCTTAGAAACAATTTCTTACAATTACATACATATGAATATAATCAATTATTGGTAAATTACCTACCTATATTGGTGAAGTATTGTTTCACTCATAGAACCATAGAACAGTGAAGAATATACTTTTTAATATGGCTTGTTCAAGGTCACAGTTCTTGAACCCCTTAAATTCTTTTTATAAAAAAGTGTGTGTCTTTAGTGATTTGTGTACTGTGGTACATACATACAGGGTGTCCGCAAATTTTACCGACAACGTTTGACTGCATATTTACGACGATAAATAAATAGGATCTACGGAATAAAGTTAAATAAAATATTTTTGGTGTTTGAGTTACAAGATTTTGATACAATCCGTGTCACTGCTACGCAACCCGAAATGTACAGACCTGCAAATAATGCCATTTTTTCTGAAGAATGGCTTTCTATAGGCGATTTTCTCAAGTGACAATATTTTTTAAATAAAACGACCTTTTCAATGTTGCTGCCTGTTTTAAAAAAATACGACCACTGTAAAAATTTTGACCGCTAAAAGGGAGAGGGAACCGGAGAAAACTATCACCCAGTATATCGATTTGACTAATGCTTTAAGAAATAATACGCCATAAATGTGCTAAATGACAACTTTGAAGGCCTGTGAACTCAAAAACCAAAAAATGTTTATTTAACTTATTTTTCGTAGATCGTATTTATTTATCGTCGTGAATATGCAGTCAAACGTTGTCGGTGAAATTTGCGGACACCCTGTATAATATACACGTGCCTAATTCACTTCTATAAAACATGGCGGTGTTTGTTTACATCTGTATAATTTGTGTTTTCTATTGATCATTAATTTTCTATTAATATAATTAGTTATTGCTAAATTACCTACTTGTATTAGTGAAGCTGTTATCAATTTCATTTGAGATAATAAAGTATTTACTATATTTTGAACATGAAAATATGCAAAGAAATAATTTCTCGAAATAATTTAAAATCCGTCGGCACTCATAGATCCACAGAGAACAGTGATGAATCTACTCCTTTTCAATATGGTCGACTTAACTCAAGGTCACAGCTCTTGAGCTCCCTTAAAATCCGTGTATATCCGTATGTTCTTAATAATTTTTTAGTATACCTCTAATGGTAGATAGAGATAGAAAAATATATATTTCCTTCACATTACTGTACAAAAGTAAAAAAAGGCTTTTTGGGCAAGAACGATTTTTTTTAGAGATTTAAAATGAAACTGCTTGTATTATTACCACTTGATTTTGGGTTAGAATGCTGAAATTTTGTCGCAAAAAGTAAATAAACTAACTCTTCCCCCAAATTTTCTAAAGAATTTTTATATTTAAACTATACAGGGTGTCTCACGCTGACTAGACATTAGACATATTTCAGAAACTACTTCGATTTTAATTTTGAAAATTTGAGTAATAGTGTTTTTGGGTATGCCCTTCTCAACTAAAATAATGGCGCCCACCTAACGATTCCTGTTATACCGTCATCTTGACGTCATCTTCGCTATTTTAAATGGAACACCCTGTATTATTGCAATTTTGAATTCTGCGTCAATTTTTAGGTGAACTTTTATAAAGGTTTCCTATTCTTAAAGTTAACCGTTTTTGATATATTTAATTTTTCTCAAAAAAAAATTAAAAAAGCACTGCCTAAATTAAAAAAATTTGTTTTACAATAATATAGTTATTATTAATTAAATTTATAGGGGACATAACTAAAACTCTAAGCTTCCTTGCCATAATTTCAAAATGATTTAATTTCATACAGGGTGGTAGAAATTTAATGCCGAATTTAGTCAACTTTAAACCATCTTAACTTATTTTTTTTTAATGGAACACCCTGTATATTTTGACGTTTTCCACTTGTCTTATTGCTGTCATTTGTATGCTAATTTCTATTAAGTATTATTCGTACCTAATTAAAATTACATCTTAGCTTACAATTTAAATTGTATACTCGTATACACAAATGTGAGATAGAATGCCGAGATTTTTGTTTTTGGAGTTACATGAAATCAGTTGTTTATGGAGAAACTATAAACACCTGAGAAGAATTTTAGCAGCAGGTTTTAAATGCTGCAAAGCCATTTCGCATTATGGATTTATACTTTAAAATAAGACAATCTTTTAATAAGCGCATTGATAAATGTATTGACACCCTGTATCTCTTTAACTATCAACTTTTGGACTAAATCGCAATATTTTTGCTTCGGAAATCCACCCATGAATTTTGGCTCAGTAACTCGGGACCACCCTGTATAATTACATACATTTATTTGACGGTATACTACGGATGGAATCTAGAGAGAGAGAGGTAAGGGGGCAAGATGTAAAGTGAGATGAAACTGGTCCGCGTTACGATCACGTGACAGAGCATTTACAGGTTCGTTAATGGCGATTTGTTATTTCCATTACGTGGTATTAAGTGTTATTGCGTATTTTACATACAGGTCGGAAAGTCACCATGGTTCATTGGTCGTTACGTGAAAGCGACAAAGTAAGTCATAGAAATCCATGCGATAGAGAAGGATGGCTATAATTAAAGGCGTCTCATAGTCACCGCCCGTTTCGCCCTTCCACAAATAAGATCCACTTCCACTTGTAATTCAGCGACCGGTGGTCATCTTTGTTGCTGTCGCTTTGTCAGTTCATGTTAGAGCAGCTACAATGCAGAGAAAGTCGGCTTTGGCTTCATCCATAGTACCTATACTGTTAAATTTATTAGTACATATTTGCTGAATCGACTCTTATTCGCTAAAAAAGAACGCAAATCCCTTCCTAACCCAATTATGTAAACAAAACAATACTCAATTCGTGTTTCCAGACTGACCGCCAGGTGGCGCCGAGAATACTGATTTACTGAGAATTTACCAATTCTCAACGTCATCTTTCAACTGGCACAGCCTTTTAGGGCTTATTTTTACGACGATATTTTTTTAACGTTTTCGTACGTGTCTTACATTCACAATCGTAAGTGTGTGACCTGATTTCTGGATACTCGTAATAACCATGCAATTACGCAACTACTAAAATTCTCGGCGCGCCTCTGCCTTGTTTGATCGATGACGACGCGATTCACCTCCATCGCCGAATTTTGACGCGGGGCGACGTTTCACGTCAACAAAGACTTGTCGGAGTAAAGTTAGGACTTCCTAGCGAAAATGGACGAAGAACAGCCAGCTTCCAAAACCGGCTTGACTTCCAAGAGCATGATAATAAGTCCTTCGGAGCACCAGAGCATGGTGTCCAAGTCCGCGCTGTTCGAGCACCGCTCGTCCGGGAAAAGGAAGAAGAGGCGGCGCCGCAGGCAAAAGGAGCTGTTCACCATCCAGGGGGTGGTCAAGGTGGTGTTGAGCGAGCTGGCGCAGAAAATCATAGGGTAATTCTGCTAAATACTTTAAAACCTTCAGAATATCGAGAAACAAAGCAAAAATATTACATTCCGATGTAGATACAGGGTGATTCACAAATGGTGACCAAAAATGACACCTCGTGTTCTTTGGTGAGTTTTAAGAGTAGTCTTTCCTATAAAGTTTTTATCTAGGACGCTTCGTTAAAAAGATACAGGGTGTTAAACTTCAAAAAATATTTTAAATTTTTTAAATAATTTAAAAACTAGTAAGTGAAATAATTTGAAATTGGGCACATGAATTAATGTAAGTATTGTCCAAAATCTGAGGACTTTTCCTGAAATTTACATGTTCCAGTGGCGGAGATNAGGTGATTCACAAATGATGACCAAAAATGACACCCCGTGTTCTTTGGTGAGTTTTAAGAGTAGTATTTCCTATAAAGTTTTTATCTAGGACGCTTCGTTAAAAAGATACAGGGTGTTAAACTTCAAAAAATATTTTAAATTTTTTAAATAATTTAAAAACTAGTAAGTGAAATAATTTGAAATTGGGCACATGAATTAATGTAAGTATTGTCCAAAATCTGAGGACTTTTCCTGAAATTTACATGTTCCAGTGGCGGAGATACAAGGTATTGGTGGCATATTTTTCTAAATAGAATAATACGCAACTGCTTTACGGTAACAGTCATGATATTTTCGGATTCGTCTTTATGTTTTCCGAAAAAATCCCGATTTTCGAGTAAAACTTAAAAAACCAACTGAAAACACTTTTACTTAAATGACATGACAAGCTCTAATCATTCCGTTATTTATTTGAATAAAGAAATTAATAACATTAGTCATAATTTTAATGATTTTATTTGAGTAAATGCTCAAAAATACCTACATTTCCACGAACACATGCCCGATACCTGTTTAGTAACGAAAATGTAATTTGTTCGTTAATTGTTGCTTGAATCTGATAAAAAGCATTATTTATTCTTTTTTCTAACTGCTCAGAATCTCAAAGTTGCTATCGCAGCCCACCATCTAATTTTAAAAAGGATTATATTCGAATATCGAAGTGTGATTTCAATTTGTTTTTTAAGTAATTACTCGAAAATCAGTCTTTTTTCGAAAAACATAAGAGAATAGTAATTTGTAGAATAATTGAAAGACGAATTCGAAAATATTATGGTTGCTACCATAATGCAGTGGCGTACTATTTTATTTAGAAAAATATGTCACCCATACCCTGCATCTCCGCCACTGGAGCATTTAAATTTTAGGAAAATCCCTCAGATTATGGACAATGTTTACATAAATACATGTGCCCAATTTTAAATTATTTCACTTAAGTACTAGTTTTTAAATTATTAAAAAAAAATTTAAATATTTTTAAGTTTTAACACCCTTTGTCTTTTTAACGGAGCGTCCTACATAAAAACTTTATAGGAAAGACTCCCCTGCCCTTAAAACTCACCAAAGAATACGAGGTTTCATTTTTGGTCATCGTTTGTGAATCACCCTGTATAACTAAGAATATACAAGGTGATTTCACTTTAAATATAGAAACTGCGGGATTAGATTCATTACCAAAAAATAAGTACAGCTTGCTCTATAAACTTTTTTCCTGCGGGACTCAGTATTCGAGACACAGGGTGTTAAAGTTTACCGAACAAAAAAAAATTTTTCTGCCATATCTTCATAATGCGCTGACGGAATTGTATGAAATTTACTACAGCGTATTCACTTAATTAGACCTTTTATTGAATGTAATATTAATCTTGTGGCGTTAACCAGTGGCTTGCTACTGGAAGTGCCGCCCCATTTTCCCAAGAAAAAAATACGCCACTGGCGGTTTTTTGTACAAATAATGTTACATTCAGGGACTGTTACGTTAAATGAATGAAAAATGTTTAATGGTGTTTTTTAATAGTAGCAGCTGTTTAGGAGATATTATTTGGGCTTATTTTTACTTTTTATTGAATTTTCCATATAAATTAATCCGTTTATTTGACGAAAACCTCCTAGTTTTAACCAGTCACGTGCTACTAAAGCGTCCGCCAACGTTTTTTTGAAGAGATAATTTTATTTCTGAAAAAATATTAAAATTAAATAATGAAATAACATTAGCAAATAGGTCGAGTAAGGAATAAAGTCCTAGCTCCTACAACAATTCTCCAAAACAAAGTTCTTCCGCATCGATACAGTTTTGGCATTTAATCTATTTATAGAGGAACTTATGACATGATTTTCCCTGAGGAGATTACAATTTTCCTCTATTTTTTTGTCACAATTCGTCTTGTGTTCATAAGCCCAACAAGGACTGCAGCTTCAGAAATAAATAAACAGAGTTAATCAATACTTTTGGCGAGTGAATGTGTACATTTTTTAACCAAAAAAAAAAACACTTTTTCAGACGGTTTTTCGGGAATAACCCAAAAAGTAAGTATTTTATCAAAAAAATCATTTTTATAAAAAATGTAGATTATAAAAAAAAAATAAAAATAATGGTGTGTTTGTGGTGTCTGTAGACCCAATACAAGCGGAGTAATAGCTCGTTGAAGGATGGTTCTTATTCGTCAAACGCAAAATTGAAAGTTTTAACGTGAAATAACCAAAAACCAATGCATTTTTCAGGGAACATTCATAGAACCTTTTTTAAAGTGCTTGAAAAAACCTCTAGTTTTATTTTTTATAAAAGTCCCTAGCGTCAAACCTAAGCGAGTTATGACGAACAATAATGTTGGTCCATATTTTTTTCGGCGACAAAAACGTGAATATCACCCCCTAATTACCACCCCAATTGAAAATAATCGTTACCACTTTACAATTTACTTTATTTATCTACTTGTAATATGCACTAGAAGTTTGACCGGTTTAAAGTGCATAGTTTTGAAAAAAGTTGAGCTTGAAATGAAAAGAGAATTTTTTTGTATTTTTGGAAAAAAATCTTTTCTTCAAAATAACTCAAAAACTATTAATGATCCGCAAAATTTTGTAGAGTACAAAATTGTAGGTTTCGCTTTCTTGAAAATTTTGTTTTTTTTTCTGTAGGATAAAAATTATATGGCTGTTTAAAGCTTGCATATACAGGGTGTTAAAAAACAGTCTAAAATATTTAAGGAGGTAATAGTAGGTATGAACCAAAATAAGCAGAAAAGTCTCAAGAAACATGGGTCCGCAAAGTAACGGTTGCGGAGATATGGAATGATAAACAGTACGTATTTGACAGTTGTTCTCAGTGCACAAGTTTTCTTTCGCTATGGCTGGTTACTCTAACGCAGAATTAACAGACATGAATTTCATGTATGGTCGTGCTAATGGGAACGCCACCGAAGCGCGACGTCTTTATGTTGACGCTTATCCAAATCGCCAGATTCCTTCACAACGCATGTTTGGAAGAATTCACCAAAGATTGCGTGATACCGGTTCCTTGAGCAAACAGTGCCATTTATCCGGAAGACCAAGGTCGGTATCCACTCCTAGA